TCAAAATCCACCACTAGCTCAATTCGAAATAATTGACGACTTTTCGGTTACAATCGAAATACTAAAAGCCCTAAAAAGACACGACAATGTTTTTGGGGCTCTTCATCTTTTAAGTATAGCATAAAAGAGTCAATTATTTTGAATTGAGCTAGTGGTGGATTTTGAAGAACGCACTTCATTCTACAAAACAAGACGCTTTCCAGAATTCTACAATATTCATTTCGAATATTATAGGATAGACGAAAAGAGAAAAAACAGTAACGCACAGAGATTCCGGTAGCAGAGTTACGCGTTTTGTATATATTGTTCATAAACCTATATCATCATATAGAAGCGAATAGTTTAAAAACAGATTCAGAATGAATTCCAATTAACGAAAAAAGGTGTAATATACTTAAGTATATCAGATCTGAAAAAACTGGTTTTGGTCCGAATAAATTCGACTTTCTCAGTCAACTTCTCTACAAAAATTGACTTATGGCAAATTTTGGCGAGATTTGTTGATAAGTCGATCTCCTTGTGACTTAACTCTTCTTGGTAAAATCCATCATGAAGTAAAGCCCGAACACTTTTATATATCTTAAAACTGGTTGTGCTGGTCTGTATGCTACATAACATATTAGACACTTGTTTTTTCCAAACGATTTATTCTTCTTCAGTTCAACGCTCCAGAAAAAAACGGCGGTTAATCACGGTTACTTTAACGGTCGGTAACCGACCGTTTTTTCGGTTAATTGTGAGGTTAACCGTCAGTTTTTCCGCTGTGTTGCTATAGCTTCAGCTGAAATAACCGCGATTAACCGTCGGCTTCAACAACATGAGCAATAAGTAAAACTCTCTCTCAACAGCTTTCTTCCAGTTTGAGAAAAAGTAGTCGCATTCAGAAGAGGAATTCATCAAGAGTGATTTCAGCACAGCTAGTTCCGCTGTGTTTAAACCAAGTAATTTAAATCCCGGACCGGGACCGAGCCGAACCGGTTACAACTCTGGCACACCGTTCATGTGTTTCCCGAAGGTCATATGAGTACGTTCAAGAAAAAGAAGAAACCTCAGTCGAGAGTCTGCGGTATCAATGACTACACTGTACGACCACTAAAATGAAGATTTGTTTTATCTGTCATTCCATTGTGTAACGTACGTTCACACACACCGTATCATTGAAAGAGTTTTTCTCTTTGACTATTCTCTTCTTCACATCAGGATAGACAGTACTTACACATCAAGCACCGACAGCGTCCGAAATTCATGTCCACTATGTACTCAAATATCATACTACATATATATATCAAAAGCGATCGACGTTCGGGCACAATAGTTTAAAATTTTTGATAATTTTGAATGAATCTAACTAAAAATCAAGATAATTCTCAATAAACGTCATGAAAGATTCTAAGTTAGTTTTAAAATCTAAGACAAATTAATCCACATCTTAGTAAGATCATACAAAGATCATATTATTAAAATTTTGTCGAATCTTAACTTTTTTTGATCCAATGATCTTAATGACAATTTCAAATAGTTTAACATAAACTGAGTAAGTTTCTGATAATAGTTATTACTACATTACAATATAAAACTCAACTGTTGAGTTACTAAAATTTTAGTGAAAAAAGGATATCCATATCAGTCACAAAGCATCTGTTTGGAAGAACTTAAACTTGATCGATAGACAGCATATCGTTTGGTTTATATACAAAATCAATATCCTAGCTATATTTAGTTCCAGTTCAAGAGAATTAGAGTCCGCATACTTTTGTTCCAAAAATAGAGTGAGTCTATTAGATTTTTCATGACGTAGTGAGATTGTGAATTACATCATAAAAAATGAGTCATGCTTAAATGGAAATTTCTCACGGAAGAAAATTACAAATTACGTCACCTTTAGCGATACTTCATATCGATCATAAAATTACGGAACAAACATATAATATAAACAAAATATTGTTGCCTAGAATATACCCATTTAACTATCATGTGCAGAACAGAGAATATATAATATTTGTCTTTCTTGCATTATTCTTGATGTTTACTATCGTGTGTCATGTATATCATCGAATACAAAGTATACAATAGAGTAAAATATTTTGTCTTTCTTCTCTTCCTTTCATAGTTACTAATTTTTAAATTAGTCATTTTTTTCTATTCATTCAGTAACGTAACGTTGTCTTTCTCTTTTTAAAATTGTTATTTTACATTTAACATGTCTGCAACGACAAGAAACTCAGTAAGACTGACCCTCGCTCTACCAAACTTTGTGATAAATGGAGGTGTAGCGAACAATAATCGTCAAACATTCAAGTTTGATGAACTATCAGAAGTACTGGGATCATCAAATTCTGAAAAATTTTCAAATTATCTTGAAAAATGTTTAAATGCACCATATACACATTTCAATTTTGGCAAAGACATTATTCGTAACTGGGCATTGATATCGCCAACAAAAACAGCACTATGGTCATGTGAAAAAGATGGCCATGAATATAAAATAACATTCAAAGAACTACTGAACTATAGTTCACAATTTGCAAATACTTTAACAGGAAAATATTACAATTTGAAACCAGGAAATACTGTAAGTAAAGTTAAAGTTTTTCTTTTTGATTAGTATAATCTTAGAAAAAATATTTTATTAGGTTATGGTAATCCTACCACCTGTGAAAGAATGGTTTTTTATTAAATTAGCATGTTTAATGAGCGGTATTATATTTGTACCATGTAGTACAACATTAACGTCAAATGCTATTCGATCTCGTTTACGTGCATCCGGTGCAGACTGTGTCATCACCGACGAAGCTAATCTAGAAAAAATAACATTAGCCACCGAGTCTCCTCTGAGACCTATTCTATGTGGTCTTATTGGTACACGGCACATTCCAATGCCGTTTAGATGGATGAATTTAAGTTTAGACGCATCTGCGGCGTCAGTACAATTTAATATATTTGACTCACACGCATCGGCTCCTGCCCTAAGGTATTTCACCTCAGGAACCACTGGACAGCCCAAAATCGTTCAACATAGTCATATGAGTGCTGGTTTAGGTCATCTAACCACTTCGTTTTGGCTGAATGGTGAGTATGACACGGATCAGTCACAGTTAATATGGAATACGTCTAATACTGGATGGACAAAATCATCGTGCAGTTCTTTTTTTGGACCGTGGTTATTAGGTTGCGGAATCTTTCAAAAAGTTATCGACGAATCGGATCCAGAAACAATTTTGAAAACATTAGAAACGTATCCAATTGAAACATTATGTTCCAATACGCCCACTTATAGACTGATGACAAAACATATATTGATGACTAATCGAAAAAAACTCGATAAATCTTATTCGCTAAAACAATGTGTTTCGGCTGGTGAAACTATGGATCCTGCAATACATAAATTGTGGTATGATTATACAAATATACCGATTCGGGAAGCATATGGACAAACAGAAACTACTGCAATCGCTGGTACAATTACATCAAAAGATATTCGCTTAAATTCGATGGGAAAAGCTTTACCGACAGTTAATCTTAAAATTGTTAATAAACAAACATTGAAAGAAGTTGCTACTGATATCGAAGGAGAAATAGCAATTAAAATAAAACCAAACAAATTAATGGGACTATGTAACGGATATCTAAATGATCAAAAACGAAATAAGCTAGCTTTTATTGGTGATTATTACTTTACGGGTGATCGAGCAAGAATGTAAGATAGTAAATCTTTTACAGTACTTTTTATCATATGTTTTCTTTTTTCTTAGGGACAAAGATGGCTACATCTTTTATACTGGTCGCAGTGATGATATGATCAAATCAATCGAATATCGAAATGACCTATGTGAGACTGAACGTATTCTTTTGGCACATTCGACAGTTGCTGATTGTGCCATTACCGTTTGTTCAGATGAGCAAGGGGAAGAAGTTGTTAAAGCATTTGTAGTTCCAACTGAAAATTATAAACAAGACAGCTTAAGTAAAAGACATTTAATTCAACAGTTACAAACATATGTTAAAAGATTAATAGCGCCCTACAAATATCCTCGCCAGATTGAGCTTGTTACTGAACTACCAAGTCAACGAGCTGTAAATCGAAACGGGATGTGTTGACATCCAAAGGAAGAATGATGAATGTAACATTAGAGAAAAAGTACCTATCGACTAGTATGTGCTAGTATTTAAACAGCAAAAATTTTCACCTTTTCTTATTTGTATATTCCTGTATGTGAGGTAAGCAATCAAAAATAAGTCTACGTGTAGACACAGATGAATTTCGTCCCCTTTTCTTTTCTTTCTCTGGTTTTGCTGAATGAAAGAAATCGGATAGTACATCTATGTACAAAATAGAATAAATGTTTATTTTTTATTATCAGTTACACAATTTAAAGCTCAACTGTATTTTTTCTGTTTAAGATATTACTTTCCTATTTTAAAAACAGAAAATATTTCGTTCAAGTATCGAACACATCTTCAAAACTGTACGATTGCCTATGCGGAACACCTCAAGGTGCAATTCTTTCTCCTCTTCTATTTAACTTCTTCATATGCGACCTTCCTTCTTTCTGTTCTCCTACCGGTGTGCCTGTTTCTCTTTATGCAGACGACATTGCCGCTTTTTGTTCGTGTTTTAATAACAAACAAGGTAAAAGATTGTTACAAAATTTTTTGTGATAAACCATATGATTATTGTAAACGTTGGCGCGTTCAGATCAGCTACTCTAAAACTGTATGCATGTTTTTTACTAAATATCCAGCTGAACGAAACGCAGTTTTATCTTTGTATATGAATAACCATGCCTTAGAACAAGTAAAAATTTTTAAGTATTTAGGTTTCACATTAGATCAATGTTTATCTTTCTCTTCTCATATTGAAGATGTATGTTTACGTGCTCGAAAGAGACTTAGTGAGTTAAAGAGTGTCTGTGGCAGACGTTGGGGGCTTTACCCTCATATGGCTGTTTTTGTTTACAACACATTTGTTCGTCCTCTTCTAACGTACTCTTCACCTACTCTTTTATGCATTTCTGAGTCCAGTTGGACGAAACTTCAATGTGTTCAAAATACTGCGCTCAAAATCTGTTACCGGCTTCCCCCTTGGTACCCTACTACCGAGCTTCATACTCTCTCTTCATGTCAAATGCTAAAAATGTATACTCTAAACCCCGCTTCATCTTTCATCACTCATGCTGTTTTATATAATAAACTTATTGTCTATATTGTTAATTTTTACCTCTCTAATTTTTAACTAGTGTAAAGTGCATCTAATCAATCGAGACGAAACTCTGAGAAATGTCTTATATCGAAAAGAGGTAAGTTATCTCAGTCGTTTCACTTTCCCTGTGGAAAGAATAGTTTCTGTTGATTCAATGAACGCATTTACCTCTTCTGTCTTATGCGTTATCATTCGAATGGCTGTTTCGAAATATAAACTAGCATCATAACGCGATCAGATGTCCAACGATGCTCCTACTACACGATGTTAAGTAATCGCAGGAGGGAAAGCACGTGCTCTAATTTAATATCAAAAGAAAATCAAAGTCTGTTTTTAGGATTTTCAGTATATGTAAACTTAGTTCAATGACAATTCCGGTATTTCCTCACTCTATTTATTCTTTATGTACAGAATCAATGAAGGTGAGCTAGTAAAGTAAATAAAATGTGACAGTAAAGTAGAAGCAAGACGCACCACCTGTCTACCACCGTGATGTATTTCTGAGACCAATTTAAACTCAGTACACGCAGTATACTGAGTTTAAATTAGTCTGGCTGGGGAGTTTATTAAGTCCATTCTTCTAATTTCTGAGTACAAGTTTAAACTTTGTTTAAGTGACGAAAAAGACTACCACACTTACATGAATGTTTATCGAACCTATCTCGATCGTATTCTTAGCAGAAGTCGAAATTCCTTAATGAACATCTTGTCTGAGGACAAACAATGGCTTTATTCTTCAAGGATCGATTGTACACCATCAAAGCTATTAATAGTTATAATATCTGTTTCACTTCCGGACTATGGGTGATGGATTTTCAATGTATTGATAATGTATTAAGACGTGATATAAGGAATTCGGATTGTTGTATTACAACTTTAACTTGTAGATAAAATAGAGATAATCAGCGATGGATTTTTCCCTCTGAAAAACGATGTATGGGGTATTTTAAATATTCAGACTGATTGCTTTCAAAACCAACTGAGTATTTTGTTCAAGAACAGAATCTGATTTTGGTTTTTGAAATAAAAATGCAATATTTCAAAATACCGCAAGATTATTTAGATTAAAAAGGACCACACCGTTTTTTGTCTTCGTTCTAAATTCCTGGTGGTTTATCTCTTCCTCAAAGAATCAAAGCTGATTTAGTGTAAATTTTTGCTTAAGATTACCGAAAAACCCAACAGTTTTGAACTATACCCTACTATTTAGCACTATTACTGCAAAATGCAAAACTGTTGAGTTTTTCGGTAATCTTAAGGAAAAATTTACACTAAATCAGCTTTGATTCTTTGAGGAAGAGATAAACCACCAGGAATTTAGAAAGAAGACAAAAAACGGTCTGCTCCTTTTTAATCTAAATAATCTTGCGGTATTTTGAAATATTGCATTTTTATTTCAAA